CAGACTGCAATCAGGAAAAATACAGTGTACAGGGCAGGGAGAATAAGAGGTGAAGTTTTCGGGACTGAACTCATTAGGGTTCTTGACAGAGAGTCCAGACTAGAAGTGTCTAAGGAGGTAAGAAAAAGTAAAAACAGTAAAGACACATTTTAGAAACCTTTTTCCAAGCTGTTTTCTCCCCTTTGAAATAAAGCACTGAAAATCACCAGGAAGCATATCTCCAAATGTTATGTGACATCCATTTCTTTTTGTTTATGTGTATCTGCACACACATTCACGTACATCCATTAGTAGGCACACATACTATACATATACATGCACACATACAGAAGCACAAGAACCTTTTTTTTTTTTTAAAGAAAGGAACTTTGGATATCATGCTGTTATCAAAATATTAGATAAAATGCTATCTATTAAAACCATTTAATAAATATTTAGTTTAGCTGGGTAAAATTGGTAGTGTACTTTATAAGTAGACTTTTGTTTTTGAAATCAATTGTTGGTAATTCATTGTTAGTAAGGTGTAAAAGTATTTCCATATTTCTAAAATCAATTATATGTATGACATTTCTACCCATTGGCGCTTGGTGCTAAGGAATCCAAGATGCACATGGAGGCTTAGTTCCTGACAAAGACGTGTGGAGAAATGATGTTGTGCGGAAGGAAACTTCTCAAGATGCAATATTCTCCAGAGGGAGAAACACATCTTACCCTGCATGAATGATCTTTACAATCCAGGGTGTTCTAGTGGACAGTGACATCCCTTCTTTTGGGGAAGGTTGAATAGTAAATTAGATAACTCAGTGGCTTTAAGAATTCTTGAAACTGGCAAAATGCAACAGTTCTCTCATTGCCCATGCTTCTAGAAGAAAGAAGGATGTCTGAGAGACACTTTCAAACAAATTAACAAGACTCCGAGAGAAGACAGGCTGCCTGGAAGAGGCAGACACCCTGAGTTGCGTAGGAGCAGGGAATCACCAGAGCTACCTGGAAGAGGCTCAAACGAACAGATATTCCTGGAAAAAGTACTCTTCTACCTGTTGAGATGCCCGCAGGTTAAAAGGAGACTCTGTTTCCAGTTTCTGTGAGTTGTCAGTCATTGTAGTGCGCAACGCCTGTCTGTGCTCTATGCGCTACCATACAGTTTGCGAGCTTTGGGCAAGGGACTGGAGATTGAAACACAAACACACACAGACAGAGAAACAGAGACACGGACCCCTAGTCGCTGGTAAGAAGCCCTTTGTTCAATAGCACCGTGGAGGCTTATATACCCAACACAGTCAGGTGGGCCAACAGGTGAAAACCTTATCCTCTGATCCTCAAGGCCAAGGCAACACGTGTGCGGAAGCAGAGCTGGTAAATAACTTTGACACAGCCTTCAGTAACTCAAATCAGAAGGAAAATAAAGATCACTAGCAGGGAAGAGCAGCTGGAGGCCAGGACTCCAAATGCTCCCAACAAGTCGTGGTGATACAACTGTTATCTTTGTTGTTGGTTTGTCAATTCTGTCACTGTAAGAAGTTCCGCATCCATATTCCTCTAGTTAAATCCAATAAAACTAATTGGATCATGAGTCAGGAGTTGGGTGTTATTCATACTTTGGTCTCTCCTCAGTTCTTTGTCTGGGTGAGTAAACATTTGCTCGTATCTGCCCAGGAAGAGTGCTACAATGCTAAAGACTCATGTGGAGGCCCAAAAATGTGAGCCTATTTCCACCCTGACCAGAGAAAGAGGTCAGAGAGTTGGGACTTACTTCTCTTCCTTCAAGGTTATTATTTGTTTCCATCTCTAACAAAGGTCTCGCCTAGATTCAGATCAGAGAGTTCTGCTTGCTCAAGGTTATCATCAACTAATAGCCTGACCTTGTACTCCAGGCATAGCGAAGTATATCTGTTCCTACCTCAAACAAAAGTCTAAGGACCCAACTAAGTTCTTACTCCCTTAAGGAGACAGCTATGGATTTCACCCAGAGAGTTGTTTGCCTACAGAATGTTTTGGTCTAGGGGGTGAGCGGTACTTGTCTTATTCTACCAACAGAATGTTTAACTAAGAATGTAACACAACATTCAACTGGTCTGTTCATTTCCTTGTATCATGTTAATGCAGTTTTTATCTTACTCCTACCTTTTGGGATTGGGAGTATTTTAAGCAAATGGAAATTAAACACAAGTGATTTCAGTATTCACTGGAACTCCCTCCTGGCACTATCCTATGCTTTCCATCAGAATGTCCTACTGGAAACTAGTTTACTCCCTAAGTCCATGGGCTGTGTGCTTACTCTGTGAAGTAGGTTGCATTATTTCTATTTTAGAATAAAAAAACACAGCTGGATTCAGTCAGTAAAGTATCCATCACACAAGACGAAGGACCTGAGATCTATGTATTTGAACAGATAGGCATTGCATTGAGTACCTTTAATCTCGCCACTGGGGATGCAGGGACAGGAGGCTCCGTGAGGAACACCAGTCAGTCAACTCATCTGAATAGGTCAGCTACAGGTTCAGTGAGAGAGTTTTAAAAAAAATTATGTGGTGAGTAATTGAGAAGGCCTGCTTGTCTACTTCTGACCTCTGCACACACACATATACATGAGAATGTGTGCCTGTAAATACACATTAATATATCATATTAGATCGAGATTGATGGAAGAAACAAGGAAATAAAAGAAGGCAGACAACCATCTCCAGAAACATAATTGTTCTTTTAATCAGGACAACTGAAGGGATGGGGGCTCTCCTTCCAAAAGGAGACCGTGCGCGTGTGGCATCTTGGACTTTGGGAACTTCGGGAGGTGAAAGAGTCCATCTGCAGGCCATTTCCCCTGCAGTGTGTGAGTGGATGGGAACCAGCGAAGTTGGTCTTGGATCTCCTTATTGGATGCTTCCAGAGGTGATATCAGTCAAGTCAATTTTCTTGTCTGGAATTTCTCAGCCCACACGAGGCTTTTAGGTAAGTTATCACATACCAATGGTAATAAAACAAAATGAAAAATAGATTAAAACATTGAAGCAACTTATTCAAATGGCAGAAAGTGGCATTCTCTTTCAAGTGGGTCAGCACTGGAGTCAGAATTGCTTAAGAGAAAACATAAGTAGTGTGGACTGGAACAGCACCGACTTCGCTGGCGGCTGTGGTTGCAATGACTCATTTTCTTAGGTTCGCAGACTTCTACTTGTCACTCGTCTCCCTCTGCGCACAAATAACATTGAGCAAATTGTACTGAATTTTGTTCCTTAGTCAAGGAGAGATCTCTGTGTTCATCTGTGACCAGCTGTGCTCACTGCTCCAAGCACAAGGCGTTCAAAAGGCTCACCTGGTGATTGTTCAACAAAGAATATCTGCGTGATTAAAGGCAAAACACCCTGACCAGTCCCTACTGACAGAAAAGAAGCAAAAAAAGTGCCACAGAGCAACATTTTGTTAGAAAACCCTCAGAAGAATGCTTTAAAGTAACGATTTCATTTGAGAAATAATTTCGTACAGGTTAGCTTTAATTGTATTTGATACAATAGAAACAAATGAACTAAAATTAAAATGAAGACATTGAACCTGTAAATTGACCATGTTGCCAAAGTAGGTGTTGTTCCTGTTGCTTGAACTCTAAATATTAAGTGAACCCAGATAAAGTTACAATTGTTTGTTGATACAAATAAAGTCTCTTAAGTTGCCTGTGCTTGTAATGAAGTGTAGCCGCAGTATGGAAAGGCCATGCCAGAGATGATAAGGCTTTTCTTTTTGTAGAAATATACAAAGCATAAAAAGTTTTCTCTCTTTCTCTTCCTTCCTTCCTTCCTTCCTTCCTTCCTTCCTTCCTTCCTTCCTTCCTTCCTTCCTTCCCTCCCTCTTCCTTCCTTTCTTTCTTTCTTTCTTTCTTTCTTTCTTTCTTTCTTTCTTTCTTTCTTTCTTTCTTTCTTTCTTTCTTTCTCAAACATTGGTGGTTCCATATGACCATGAAATTGAAATGGCACAAAATACCACCCCTTTCATCCTTGAAACCTAGATGACTAAATGGTTAGCAGGGTTGGAGAACCTGTGCAGGAGTGAGCGAAAGTTATAATAGAATCATGTTCCATTTAACTCTCGCTTTGAACTGCCAAACACTCTCTGATACCAATTCACATTGTCTCCAAAATGTGCCTAACTATTCTGTTCTTAAGATCCTGGCCTTGTGAAGTGTGTTAGGTGAGGCTGCATCTAAGTTTTGTAAATTGAGGATTGACTAGTTGAGGACTCTAGTCACTGCCTGTTCCTCACCGGCTGCTCTGCTGACTTACCTTCTAATATATATATATTAATATATGCATATATATACATAATACACACATGTATGTGTAAATACACATAAAGTACAAAAATATATACACACATGTGTGTACATATACATACACATATAGTATAGAAGGTAGGTTACTTTTGTTTTACATATATATACTTCCATATATAAGAACATATATAGAGAACAAAAGTAACTTTTAAGAATAAAAATGATTGAAGTTTTCATTGTACAAGTTTTATTCAACAGCATCTTTTTAAAGACTAGTTTTCCAATGCACCTCGGCCTATCTGCCCCTTTAGTATTTTTCCTTGCGTTTGTCCCATCGGATGATCCTCCGCATTTGCTCGTCACCATCTTCATTCAACAGTGCTTTCCGACCGAGGAGAAACGTGCAACAGATTTGCTTCTTCAAGAAAAGACGTCAAACTACTATAACCTGTTAGTTCCCGTCAGCTTCAATTAATCAACCATTTCTTTTTACATGGTGGCCACAGAGAGGGAGGAGGAGAGGGCTGAGAGCGAGGCTCTGCGTTAGCATGAATCCATGCTCTACAAAGGGAAATCTGTCCCTGTGGTTGGTAATGATGCACATTTGCTTTAAATCTGCAGCATCCCTGTGCTATATTTATAGGCTTTTGTTCGCCGGGCTAATTTCCTGGGATGATTTATGTCTCCACACATACAAGAAACAATTTAAACAATTACTTGAATCAATTGAAGTAAGCATGTAACGGAGCAAAGAAAACAAACACAGCCTTTAATTTAAGCAAGCTATTTTTATCCTCTGACAAAAATAGGGTACCTTCTGAAACGTATTTGGACAAACACGTATTTGTTTACACGGATACAAGAAAAGCGTGTTTGCATTGGTGGTTGGAAGAGGGAAAAGTAATTTACCATAAGCCTTTCCCCAGGAACCGAAAAACAAAACAGCTCTTTAAAATCAGCTAGCTCCCAAACTGCGTCTTTGGAGCTCAGGCATATCACCATCACCAGGTGCTCCTGGGACTCCGGAGTTATAATGTGCCCCAGAGTCAGGTTCAGACCTGGAGTAAGAGAGCGTGGGCCTGGCCCCTCGTCCTGAAATGAGGGCTGCGCTAGCCTGGGCCTCTCGCAGCAAGAACCACGAGGAGCAGGAAACAGGGAATGGCCCCAAATCAGGGAAAGCAGGCCCAGCTGCTTGAGGAACTGCGCTCCTCGTGCTTTTTCCCCCTGAAGCCATGTCCTCTCCGGGCAGCAGCCTAGCCCTTGGCGGGGCTGCTGCCTCCCTTCCTCATCCTGCAGCCCCGCAAACTCCGCAGAACGCCATCTGGCGACGCGGGATGACCCACAGGCACCGAGCCTCCAGCGGAGGGGAAGCGAAACCACAGCTGGCGGGAGGGCGGGGGGCGGGGGAGGCGAAGCGTGGAATAATTCCACGACTTCCCCAGTCAGTCCGAGGCGTGGGAAAAGCAAGAACCGGTGCGGGCGGAGAGCGGGCATCCATCCGCATCGGGTGAACCCTAGTGCCTTCGCAGCGTCCCTGTGCTCCGCTCGTTCGGGTCCCTAGGTGGGAACAAACTCCGGGTGCAGAAGTCCGCGCGGCACAAGTCCTTTGGCTGGAGTTAGGCGCTGCCCAGGCTGGTGGCAGCCGGCGATTTGCAGCTTTCCCAGAGTCACTCCCGGCGCCGCAGGGGCGCGGTTTTAAGCAGCTGGCCCCATTTTCCCATGCTGTGTATTTCAATTGCCCCATCTCACTCCCTTCGTGGAGGCACCGTTTGCCACGTGTGGTTGGCGGAGCCCTCAGCGGCCTCTTATAGGGTCACCAATGCGAGCCCGTGTCCAGCTCTACAGGAAGCTTCTCTAATGGAGTGGGGTTTGCACTGCACCGCCAGGAGCCGGACTGCTTAGACGCCTGAGCGTCTCGATCCTATGCCTAAACCTTACCCGAGTCTTTTAGGGATGGCCTAGCAGCCCCGCTTACCTGATCGACTACACTCATCCAGTCTTTTGTTCCGCGAGACGCTTTCGCCCCTGCGGAAACCCAGGCGGTGGGAGGGTCGGTGCTAGAACGCAATCTCCTTGGCCTGGCCGCACGCTCGGACTTCGGTGTCTGTGGCTAGCTCTCCACCGCGCCACAGCGCCTCGGGAACAAAGGTATCCCAGTCCTCTCCCTGTCCCTTCCTCCTGTTTCCGCATTCTCTGGCAAGACTGTCTCTGTGTGAGGAGGGAACTGGGCATCCTTACTTCGTCATCTTGGAATTCCACTTAGGGCTTCGAAATGTGAATATGTCCCTGCCTTTGGAAGCAAGATTGCTGGCCCCTTCAAAATAGTCCTTCTCGTTTCATGTGGTTAAAGACTCACGAGCTTGCCAAGCACCTCTACAGTTTGCACAGTGCTCAGCCTCCCCTCCTCCTCCTCCTCCCCTCTCTTCTGTGTCTCTTTCTCTCTGCACCGCCCCCCCCAACCCCGCGTGCGCCTGTGCGCGCGCCCATGTTCGTGCGTTCTTTTCATTTCTACCATTAGGAAACCCACTCAGAGCCTCCGTGAACTCAGAAGACGCTCAGTTCTTATTTCCCACGGATTCCTGACTCTCCGGAAACGCTGACAGCGTATACACTGGAGGATATTATGCTGGAGAGACCACTGATTCTTAAGAAATGAGCCATGGAGAAAAAACCGGCAAAGCTGGAAGCCCTGGAAGAGGCCTTAGCACGAAAATAGGATCTGCGTTCGGCTACGGGGTCCTAATCCCCTCTCTTCAGCACCGGAGGGGATGGACAGCGTCTCCCAGCTGGGCCTCCGTCTTGGGGACTTAGGTGTGCTGCTGCCGCTGCCTCCACTGCTGTCCTTGTGGTCACTGTCATGGACAAGAGCTCTCGGCAGCTAAAAGGCGGTGCCTCCGGTCCCCTTCCTTGATGGTTGAAAACCTGCCTTCCTCATCCTCCTGTCACTCATAGGAACCCGACTCCGCGTGGCTAAACTCTGGGCAGCAACTCCAAAAATAATTTTCTGCATGGGCTGGAAGGAATGCAGGCAGAAGAGTGGAGTTGAAGTTCTTAGAAGCACCAAGGAACTGTAAGCGCTGCAGCAGGAGTTGAAATACCCAAAGGCCCACAGTTCTTTAAACAAGAACTTCCCGGACTGGATTGCAGCTGTGGTGGAAACAGCTTTGCGAGAGGTTGGAGATACTAAACCCCAACATTAGAGTAGCCGAAAAGACTCCATTTCCTCTGCTCAGCAGGTATGTGATAACACAATTATGTCCATGTTTCCACGCACACTAATGACTTCGGAAAAGATATGAATTTATATGTTGAGGACTAAGGAAAGTAAGTATTTCTGGTTGTTTTAAAATGGTTATTCCCACACTAATATCTTGTAAAAATCTGTTCCTTGATAAATTGGCCTGGAATTTTATTTTTTCTAGAGTCTCTTAGGTGACTGCAGTGACAACAATATGTAGGTGGCTTACACTAGCATTGCAAACTTTTACTTGGCCATTTTCTCCCTGCTTAGCTAGCACCTCTGGGTATCTGTGCATGTCTGACTTGTCATTGTCTTTAAAACTAATGTGCGCTGGTGTTTGGTGATCATGACCATTCAGTTAAAATTTTTCTGGTTGTGTTATATTACATCTGAAACTCAGTCAGAAGTTGGAAATGGTTCAATCACTCCTAATATTTTAGATGGTGAGAAGTTGCTAAAATATTTACAGGGACGTATACACACACGTGTGCGTGCATATGCACGCGGGTGCGCGCGCGCGCACACACACATATATCTCAATATCTGACCCCTTTTATATTCAGGGCCCCCAAGTGTAGTTAGAATCTGCAGACTTATCAACAGATACCTCAAGGCTGCTCTGTCAGCCTTGATCCTCTAGAAGGCAGGATTAAGCAGCTTCCTTGTGCCTCTTTAAGAGTGGGATTTTCCTCACCGTTCTGACTGGTTACTTCTACAAAACACACTTGTCTCTGAAATCAACTAAGTGGCAGAGACTAATCAGTTCTTCACACACTGTACATTTTAACATGATGATTTTTTTTCCTTGATACTTCTACCCAGACTCTTCCTCTACGGCTTTAAAATCGCACCTTGGTGCGACAATGACCTTGGTGAGCACCGTGCTTTATGGGAAAGGTTTCCCCTGTGAAACCATCACACAAATGTAGAGTCCATGCCTGACATTTCAGAAAGAACTCACCCAAGTCCAGTGAGCGCATTCTGCTCATCGGAGAGCTCGGAATCACAGGAAGGAATCACACAGTCGTGATGGTATATGTTTAACCAAGCCTGTGGAATGAGTTTGTCTCTGAGAAAAACTGCAGGGGTTTGGAGGATTTATTTCTTTTAATTTTATATACCACGCATAGCTGAAAATAGAATACCTTCACATCCCAATCACTCTAACTCTCACTTTGTCAATTTGAACACCGACTCCTCTGAGACAGGATGGTATTTGTTGGTGGACCAATGGCTGCCTGTTTCCCATTGACTTAGATGAACAGTTCTGCTCTGAAGAGCTGTCGTTTCTTAACGATCACTGACCTCTCACCAAGAAGCAGCTTGCATCACAGATAGAGAGCAGGAACTCCTCAGGGGCACGGCTGCCCTACATAGGTCAGAAATGATCGTCAGAAGAATTGGAGGCTGCGCTGATTGACGTGGATTCCTCTAGTGTGCCCCTTGCAGAATCATTTTATTTTCTAATCCAAGAATGCAAGCAGATTCTAGGAGAGTTGCAGCATGTGACTAGACTTATCATTTTGGATGTTAATTAATTAATGCAAATGGACTCCCCCATTGAGTGGCGCATAAAATGAAACGTGGGAATGTGTTCTGGAATGAAGCCTGTGTGTCTTATGATCGTTTCCTTCTCAGTTGTGGAGGGGGGCAGGCTTTCTCCATGTGGAACAGAAACTGAATGAAGTAAAAGGTATCTGTGCCTCATCCCCTTGCAGATTTGCTCACGGAAGTAAATAATTCTGATTCACCACTTAAATATCAAGAGAGTGTATTGATGCACTTGCCAGCTGCTCTCCCTGGGGAAATGTAGCACTGAGATAGGATTTTTGTTAAGACAATTTAGTAGCTATCTAAAGGGCCATCACTAATCACAATTAACTGAAAAAAATAAGGGTGTAAACAGATACGTGAGCTGATAAAGGAGTAAGAGGGTTCCTGTAAATCAGCCTTCATTTTCATTCCATTCATCTCTGAAATGAAATCAACACTTGATTTGAAAAGTGTCTCCAATGCATGCAATCAGTCCCTGTTTAGCTGGATATTTTGTTTTATATTGGAGAAAGGATGTCCAGGCTTCACAAATACCAACTCATTTAGTATATTAATCCTAGAGGTGAGTTGAGTCCTGGAATCTCTTCTAGTGTTTTCCTCTTTTTGCTTAGACATGGAGTTATAACAGGTTGGAAAGAAATTCTGACTCAAATCTTTGCATTATAAATTATTATAAAAACAGGCCATGGATGCTAGGAATAATAAATCATACGTCTAATTTAAACATTGAGGAGGCTGATACAGGAGAACTGTGTCAAGTTTGAGGCCCATATGTGATATAAAATGAGCTGTAAATTAGTTTGGGCAAAATATTCAGATTCTTTCCCCAAATATCTGAAAGCCAAAGTCAAATACAAACTACATCATAAAACTATAAACCATTTGTCTAAACTTTTGTGTAGACTACATGAATGTTAATTGACTATCTAAAGGTAATTATCATTAATTGTAGATCATTTCAATTTGAGTGTCTGAGCCTTGTCTTTGAAATTGTTCATTTTCTTGAGTTTTAGTAAATTAAAAAATTTAAAATATGAGATTATCATTTTCAGATTTAAGAAGGTCCTTTGATAGTTGGTATTATTTTACCTTTTAAAAGGTGTAGTAACAGGCAATGAATCTACTCACTGCAATCTGACACATGAAGCAAAAGCTACTCATGAAGAAAAGAATATTGCCAGGCAGAAATAGGTCATCATACATCTCCCAATACCTGTACAGTGAGAAAGAGCAGAACACTTACTTAGTATCTTCTTCCTCTGTAACCGAATGTGATAAACATGGTATACGGCAAGTGCTATTTGGCGGTGAAACAATCAGGCTTCCTGGAATCCTGGTGTAAGGCGTAGTACAAGTTACTCAACTCACTGATGCTTGATTTCTTCCCACAGGTTGGGAAATTTTTATCAGCCAATAAGAAGCAAATCTTTACACATAGAGACACCTATATTTCTTAAATGTTAATTGACAGGTTAAATGATATGTATTTTATGGACAAGTAGGAAGTTAACTATGATGCTCTGAGAGTCTCCTGAGAACTTCCGTGCTTTATCTGTTAGCTCTCATGAGGAATTTCTAACAGCATTCATTCACTCATGGAAAGGTTTCCTAAAGTTGCTGCATGTCGAGGATGTAGGGAAAAGCCCTCTTGGTGAAAATGTAAAAAATTCCTGATAATGCTGCTGTTTTTACACCTCTGTCCTTTATATAAAAATGTCAAACTAGGTAGAATTTGGTTTAAAAATATTTGTCACTTAGCATTAGAGTCATGTTTTCTACCAGTTGCTCAGATCTAGGTCAGCACCATCCCACTCGACTCTAACAACTTCCATTGTGATTTCTGGACACGTTGTCACTGCCTTTGTGTATGATTTTCTCTTCTGGGAGGGAAGAACATTTATCACTGATCGTATGGACACAGAGATTCAGAAGCCTATTAGACTTTGAAACTGTCTAAAGACTCCTGAAGAATTAAGTTTGATTTATGGTCAGTGGGGATGGGGGAAGTGCGGCTCTGTGGGGCTGACTGTTGGGACAGGCAGGTGCTATCAAGGTGCACTCTTCATCTGGTCTGCAGCCTAGGTTATGCTCAGATGCCTCTTCAGTGCTCTCGGTTTCCATCAGACGTCACAGTTCTGTCAGATGTCATTTTCTATGATGTCACATATTTTTATTTCTGTAGGAATTAGGCTACCACTAAAAATACTGGCAGTATGTATTAAGATGAATGATTGCTTGACAGAATAGTCATTTCTAAAATGTTTTGTGGTCAAAATATTTGGTGATTGGTCTAGAGCCTAAGAAATTGTAATCATTTGGGTGTAGGATTTTTAATTATGAGAATTGGCTCGTTTCTTATATAAAAGAGAAGGAATGAATGATAAAGATTTAAGGAAAAGAATAGAAAGTAAAGACAATTTCTTGCCTGAGAACTTTGTCCTTTATCAGTGATAACCTTGCTTAAAATTGTAAATATTCCAAGAACTGGAGAAAATTTGGGCTTTTAGTGACTTGACCTTCAACTTGCCAGCACAGTCAAGAGTATCACTGTTTACGAAACAGTAATAAACAGTTCATTAAATATTTGATAATTTCAGGTTGTGGTAATATTTTTTTAAGTTAAAAACAGGAATGAACACAAAAACCAATACTATTACAGCTGTATTTTATTGAGTTTATATTTTAGTGATGAAGTTGTTAGAGATATTGTCTTGTACTCTCTGACTTTATCAAAATGATAAAGGATAGAAAGTCATAATTTAAGACCATTTTTCAGTCATGGTGGGCCAAACTTAGTTCTGCTGCAGAGTCCAGGTCTGGGATGAGGACAACTGCATCCCATGGGGTGAAATTCAGAGGACAGTCAACCAAACTGGATGACTAGATGCCATCAGGACACAAGGGAGAATCAAGAGTCAAAACTAGCTGGCCTTGTGTATGCTTTGTACCTGTCATGTCAACGCCAGTATTTTATCCATATATAGTACTCTTCAGAAGATTTAAAAAACTGACAGAGGTGGAAAGTTGCATTTCATGAGAAAGGGAAAACCAACACTTTTAATGCAGTTATCTGAATGGAGATACTGCTGAAGTTTTAAGACCTTGTAAGCTATTGGAGAGAATGATCATATATATATATATCACATATATTTTATGTTAAGTATATTTATATTATAATACACACATATATATACTGAATCATAGCAAATACATATACACAAATACACATGGGAGGGAATTTCTTTTGTTTAATATGAGTTGTTATATGTTAATTTTTAGGTAACCGTGTAAAATACACAGGACAGACCAATAACAAGTTTGCTTTAGTCACTACACTACTGACTTTCATAGTAACATGAAACATGTTATTTACTTGAGGTGGAAAGAAATCTGGAAAAGTGATATGTCTGTTTTTCTTACTATACCTTCTTTCTATATATT